AGAGTTAATGTTTATGAGAAGTACATCAAAGAAAATAGTACTATAGTGAAATGCCATTATTGCTTTTATATTTTACAGATAAACCACACAATCCTATGGTAAATGCTGGAGCAATTGTTGTGACTTCATTAATAAAGGTAAGATGTTGATGTTTCTTTTAATCTAATAAACTTTTTGTAATAACTAAGGCATAAAGATGAATCTTGGATTGTTTAGGTAGGGCTATGAAATTTTTTCTCTTAGTGTTACAAAGTTAATATTATGGTACAGGGTTAGAATTTTGATTTATTCCAAAATAAATAATGTCATAATTTAAAGGCAAAATTTAAAGCACATGACTCATTGTAAATCCCAATAATTAGTTACCTCTTGACTTGAAGATTTGTCAAAGATTTAAAAAGTCTGCTGAACAATAAGCACAGAGGTTTTTGTTCTTAAATTTTTTGTATTTTTTAAAATTTCTCTTCCTTTTGGCTCTTCTAGAATGAACAGGTGTTAGAATTAAATCATTTTATTGCCTAATGTTTATTATTAGCATATGTAAGAACAAATGTTCTAATAGTTTGTGTTTAAGACAAGTACATTTACTATTGAATATTCTCAAGTTTTTCATACTCATGAGCTGGAATCACAGTTTTCATTTGAAATTGTTTCATTTGCTTTACTTAAACCATGCCATAATTAAGATAAGCAAGGCTTATTCCAATTATTAAGTTATGTTATTTTTCTTATGCCTTGACATTTACATTGTTTGTTTGTTTGTTTTTTTCTTTTTTTAGTGTTTGGTTTGCCTTAATAATTGGAATGTGATGTTTTTAAATGTTTAAAGTGTTTGAAAATGGTTCAATTGTATGATAGATTTTTTTCTATCACACAATTTTAGATTTTGATTTTTAATTCTAGTTATAAATTCTACTTATTGAAATAAATTTTATTTGTGTTTGGAACATTTATATACTTTCTTTAGTAACTGTGTACTTATTTCAAGTTAGAATAAAAACATAATGGCTTTGTAAATACATTATTATGGATGGGGGTACTTTGGTTGAATAAGCAATGTTCAAGGATAAATGATACCCTTGGCCCAGTTCACAAATTCATCTTAATTTGTATACAAGAAACTCTATCTTAACTCTCATAAGTTTTATAACTTTATGAGGAAAAATTTTTAAAATAGAAGACTACTATCTTAAGAATATATGTGTTTAGTTGCTATTATGGGCAAATGCTTTATTACATTGACATATTTAATTCTTAAAATTTTAATGAAATAGATATTATAGTCAAATATTTTTAAATGTAACTAATTTTCATAGGTTGTGGAAATTTGTCACTTTCTTCATTACATATAGATGTTGATGGCTATTTTACTAAGAGAAAGTTGTCATTCTGAGGTGAAAGAAACTATAGAAAATGGCAATGCAATTATGTGCAAGGTACAATTATGCCTTTAGGTAGCTTACATTGTAGTATGGAGTATACACAGTAAATGGGCCCTTATAATTAAATTCAGTAAATGTTATGATAAGCAAGTCTCAGTAATAATTTATATTTGAACAAGTAACTCAAAAGTAAGGAAAATTATTATAGTATAATGTGTGTGTTAGTGCTTGATTTTAAAAACATTAGCATGGTTCTGAACCACTTCTGGTCTTTTCCAGAAAACTGTCCACATACTATGGTTTTACATAGATTTTAGGGGGTTCACAGATCATTGGAAGACCCAGCTTCTCCTCTAACACTGAAGAAAGAATAACATAGCACACCAATAGCATTTTCAAGAAAGGGCATATGTGAATGATTAATGGAATACTTCCTTAACTGCATGCAGTTAAAAATCTTTTTGTTTAATGATTCATGGGTTTAATCCACTGAACTGAAATGCTGCATGTGGTAATTGCATGTCTGGTCATATCATGCCATCACTTCATTAGTTTCACTATCCATGTTCAGTTATAAATGATAAGCTAAACATTGAACCACATTATTACAATTAGAAACATGGAGCAATCAGAAACAGTTAAATACACACACCCCTAACATAATTGTGGTTAAGTTATCAGTAGTGCAAAAGTTTAACTGAGTCATCCTAAATTTGCAAATTTGATCAGTGATTTTAAATTATAAAAATTAAAATTTACTGACAAAGTCAGAAATGAGCTTTTGAGATATAGATCACTTTCTTTGAGTTTTTTTTTGTTGTTGTTTGTTTGTTTTAGAATGTGTATCAAAATGTTATTTTTTTAACCAAAGTTTATATAAATCTTGGAGTGTACAGCCTGAGTACAATCCTGTGTAAAAACCAACTGCCCTTTTAAAGGTCGCTGACCTTTTATATATTTAAAATTTTTTTGTAATTGTAGATGGACAGAATGACTTTATTTGTTTATTTTTTTTGTGGTGATAAGGATTGAACCCAGTGCCTCACACTTGCTAGGCAAGCACTCTGCCACTGAGATATAGCCCCAGCACCCTGACTGGGACCTTTTAAAGAAATAATTTGAAATTTTATATAAATATCTGTATGTGATCTCTACAAGCTAGATGATCACATTATATTTACCAATTGGTAATGATTGGAAATTCAAGTAGTAAACCATAGCCAAAAGCCCCTTAGAAGTTGTCAAGCCTAGTCCTCTTTGTATATACCTCAGGAAACAAGAGTGACAGGTTGTACCGACAGTAGAAAAGGCTTTTGACTAAATCTCTTAATATTCTGTTTATTATTGGAATTTACTGTGCCATTTTTAACATAGGTGTTTGTTGTTTCACTTGATGACATATTTGACTTGAACTAGTATAGTTTATACTGTCCAGAAAAAGCAGAAATATGACTTTCTTAATCTGTTACTTATACAGAAGATACTGATTGTTGACTTAAAAAATGCATCTGTTTTTTAGGGGGTATATGTAGTTATAGAATATAAGTCAGTTCCTGCTCTCTGTAAGGAAATAGGACCTTCCCAAGGACCTTGTATTTTAGGGCCTTGTAAAGTATGGATATTTTATCATGGCTACTAAGTTGCAAGTTCTGTTTTTATCTCTTTTAGTTGACTTTAGGGTTGTTTGTGATTTTTTTTTTTCATTCAAAATTCAGGGCTTTATTATTGTGTCATTGAAACATTTGTCCCAAAACTTAAAAAAAAGAAAGAAAACAAATTAAGTAGAGTCTTTAGTAAGACTCTTTATTTCATAATTTTGTAGTATTGATATTTTTTCCTTGTAGGATTGGTGGTGATCCTCAGGAAATGGGGGAAGAGGCAGAACAAATGTTCAAAAGGATTAGCAGATTGTGGAAAAAAGGAGAATTTGGACAGAAGGAACCTGTTGCATAAATTCTTAACTACTAAGCTTATAGGAAAACTCCAATATTTAAAATTTTAAACAAAGCTGTATAGGTAAATACCTTTTTAAAAACAAATGTCATTTTATACTTAAAATGCACATAATTTTTAAAAAAATAAGGGTTACAATACGTCCTCACTTTTTCTCTATGGTAGATACTAACATTAAAGGAATACTTTTTGTTGCAGTCTGTTTTATTTGATGATGTTGATAATGTATGATTGCTTGATTTAAAGAAAAGAATAAAATAAATTTGAAAGGAATATAGATAATGTCTAGGAGAAATAGTAGTATCTTTACTGTAATTTTTTATCTTTTCACTGGTAAAAGTTTCACCTAGTTTTAGTTTAAAAGTTAGTCTGATAACTTAAGGGTTAGAGCGAGAAGATGAGGGCAACATACTGCAAAATAATTGTTACACTTTTGCTTTTTAAAAATTTTTTTTTCTTTTTTTATTGTTGGTCGTTCAAAACATTATATAGTTCTTGATATATCATATTTCACAGTGTTTTTTTTAAATTTTAGAAATAGAGTAAGATACATTATCTTCCATGTTTATATGACTATTCTAATGGTAGTTTCCAGTTTTTATCATTTGAAGAACTTTATTTTTCTTAAAAATCAGAAATGTTTTTGAATTTAAAAAATTGAGTTATTTTTCTCTTTAAACAATTTAATCATCTCTATGAAATATCAAGACAAGTTTAGCTAATGTATATATAATCCTCCATTTGGTCATGATTGGATTTGTGTATTGGCCACATTTTTAGGGAGGTTTGTGACTCTAGAGAGTAATGGTTCATATCTTGAACTTGGTAACATTTGGAAGACAAGATTTTATATATATGTGTATATATATAAATTGTTTTTCTTTTAAACTTCAGTTTATGTTAGTGATACTTTTGAGAATAAAATACAAGAGAATTTTACCAACTGAATCCACTATTTTTTTATTTTTAGGGCTAATCTATGAAAACACTAGAGCTAGAACAATTTTTTTTTTTAACCTGTAACATCTGTTTTTAATTCAACTAGTACTGTTGAATTTTAAAGCATTTTCTGTGGCAAGAGTAAATCAAGCATATTTTATAAAATCATTTTCAGTTATCTCTTTGCCTTTTTCCTCTATGATCTCTAATTTTAGTTGATTTTCACCACCCTACTTCATGAATGTAATCTAGTGTATTATAAAATAACTCTGATTAATGTATTGACTTTAGTTGAGCCAATTCTTATATTAAATTTCTGGGAGATGTCTTTGTTAATAGTGATATGAATTAATTGTCGAATACATTGTGAAAAAACAGTGTAAAAAAACCCTCTCCAATATAATACATAATTCTTCTCATAGATATTATTGAAGTTCAGTGCCTCTTTATTAAATTTTCACTCATAATTTTCTTTAAAGAATGTAAATTCTGTAAATTGATAGGTATACTTATAGGAAAAATAACTTTGTATAATTTTTTGGTATGAGGATCTGATTACCCTTTTTACACAAACCACATGATTTGCTTTTAAAAGGCATTGATAAATGGATTAGAAATTTTAGTAAATATATATATATATTGGGCGGGGTGTGGGTACCAGGGATTGAACTCAGGGGCACTTAACCACTGAACCACGTCCCCAGCCCTATTTTGTATTTTATTTAGAGACAGGGTCTCACCGAGTTGCTAAGTGCCTTGCTTTTGGTGAGCTGACTTTGAACTTTTGGTCTTCTTGCCTCAGCCTCCTGAGCCCCTGGGATTACAGGTGTGTGCCACTGCACCCAGCCAGTAAATATATTTTGGCCAATTTAAATGTTCCTGCTATATTTACTACAGATTATTGTAACTTTTTCAAAATTAAATTAACACGGTATCTAATAATGCTTGTGTTGTGATCTTCAAACTGGTATAAATATATCCCTGATACATGAAGGAAAAAAGTACAAGGATAATTTAAGATAATTAGTGTCCCAATATATTTCCATATGTACCTTTCTTAAAATTAATTTGCCTGTAATCTAGGTGTCATCCTGTTCTCAAAAACAGTCTTACTCGTGTGTCCTAAATTTTATTATGGTGCACTGCTTTGGTTTATTAAAAACCTCTTGGATACCACAAGAGGGAACATTTTGAAATACTGAAGTCAGTGGTATTGAGTATGTGAATCAGAGTAATGATTGATACGTCCTGTTGTATTTCCAGTTCTTTGTTTCCAATCAAACTGAACGAGGATTTAAATGAATTGTCAGGTAATAGGAGTAGTGTAATTTTTGAGGATAAGTTATTGTGTGAATTCTGTTGTGATGAGGTAGGTGAATTGGTGAGATAACAGGTGTATAAAGAACAAATCTTTTTCTATTTTAGTCTGCTCATGTATTTTAAGCTTGGTTTTTCAACTCACATATCTGTAAAAATTAAAAATAAGAAGGAAATTAGTTCCCATCTTACTTTATCAGTAGAAAATATTGATGTATGAATTAAAAATCAATGACTATTTCAAAGGGGAAAGAAAATACTCAAGAAGAGAACAATCTTGTAAAATAGTATAGATTATTATTGATTCAATTTTTTCCCTTTAACTTTTAACTAAAAGAATTCAAACATATACAACATAAACAGAATAATATGACCAGCCACATTGTACCTACTCTTAGCTTATGATTGTTAGATCCCCCAAATCCTAAGGGTAGGTACATGAAATCTTTCTAAGAGATACAGAGGCATATGTATTTTATTGACTTCAGTTAAATGCAATTTCCAGGGTAGATAATAATGGTAAATGTTAATCAAATGTCTTTACACTTAAGTGGAGCAATTTGGAGGAGAAACAGTACTTTAGTCCACATAATCATTCATTATTCTATTTTGCCCTATCTACATACTCTACCCAGGGCATTTTGAGTAGTTTATTAAAAATATTGTATAATGACAGATATTGGTTAATAGTCATTGTTTCTTAAAAACAACATAAAAGCAAACCTTAAGTGTACTTTAAAACTGAGTAAACCACAAACTTGACCAAGTATGTGATATGTGACCACAGTTTAGAATTGAAATGGTTTTCTATTAAACATGAGAGCTCAATAAGGAAAACTTGTATTATTTTCATAGTGTACAGTTTAGGTTAGAGAATGAAAGTTCAATATAACTTGTTTACTTTATATTGATTAATTGTATAACCAGTAATTATCCATGTGACATCCCAGTGCAAATGCTGACATCCTTTTCCAATCAAAGAGTTGTTTTTTTTCTTTTCTTTCTTTCTTTCCTTTTTTTTTTTTTTGTGCTTTTTCTAAGGTTAAAAAGGTTTTTGTGGCTTAAATGTTGTTACATATTTTACAGCATTAGGACTATGGAATATTTTGACAACTGCAACAGTTCAATGAAGTTGGTAATTTCTTCTTTTAATTATTTTTCATTGAACAGCTTTGGAGTACATTTCTTCATTTAATTTCTGCTATTTTATAAGGAGAGAAAGCTTAAAATATATCAAAGGATGCTTTACAGAAAATATGTAGATAGGGATTACAATCTGACTGTTGCTAAATTACCTTATCTTAAATTTTGTTAATGCCTAATTTTGATGCAATATTGTGGTGTTCTTTCCAATGATTGATTGTATATATGTGATTGCACTTCTTTCTTATGTAAGTTGATTTGTAGGGTTTCACATATTATCAGCCATCCTTCATCTTCTCGTAAGTGGAGAATGAATCTGGCTTTATTTAATTAAACAGTACTCTGGAACACATTTTCTTCCCATAATAGGACTTGAAAATATATGTTTTGGATTTTTTGAGGGTAAATATGTTTTAAAAACTAGTTGTCAAATTATTTTATTTTAAGCTGTTTTAGAAATTAGAGATGTATTGTTTCTCTTGGGTGCATATCACCAATTAATACGTTTGATTTCAGATCTACAACTTACTGCTTTGTAAACTTCGCCGAGGTAAAATGAAACCATTTGGCTACTTGAACTGATCTACATTACATAGGTTTTTCCTAATGACCTAATGACATTTGCAGTAGATAACTGTCAGAAACAGAAGTGATGAAACAATACATCTTCCATACTCTCAATTGGCATAATGTGAAATACAATTATGGCTAATTTTTAGAGACTATGAAATATAATTTTTTAAGTTCAAGTATTATTATAAAAAATGAAAAAAATATTAAGGGTAGAGCTTTTTCCATACTACTAAATGTATCCAGAATGTTTACATATTGTAGAATTATAAGAGATTAGTCAGTTTTGCAGCATAACTCATTTTTTCTAACTCAATTAATATTGGTTTAAGGTTTTTAAAAAATATAAATAGATTATTCTTAATTGAAATTATTTTGTTTATATATGCTTAAATCTTTTTAAGGTGAAACTTTATTTTAAGTTTTTTAAAATATGAAATTAAATAACATACATTTTATCAGATTATGTACTGTCATGACAGATAAGGGAATTTCAGGATAACTTGTGTATAAAATTCTGTAAATTTGGGTTGAGTAAAGATATACTTAAAATAAAGCATTCCCTTTGTAATTTTGATTTTTTTCTCTCAACATATGGGTGTTAAAGAACATGTAAAAATGTTTAAATATTAAATTACTTTAGAAGTATTTTCTAGTTTTAAAAGTACTAATGTATTGTATTAATTATAATGGTAGCTATTTGAAATTTTATATTATGTTAGCTTGAAACTTAACTCTGGTGGTGTGTATATTAACATATTTATATCTTGTTTCTTCACAGCAAGGAGTAAATAATGCTGAAAAATTTGACTATGTAAGTGCATTATAAAATTCCATTTTCATTCTACATTCTTTATATATTTGTTTTTGGTTACTAATACGTCCTAATTTTGGTTTATAGGTGATGCAGTTTTTGAATAAGATGGCTGGTAATGAATATGTTGGATTCAGTAATGCAACGTGAGTCTGATTTGTGGCTTAGGATTTTATAGTTGGTCAGGCCTCTTTAACAAAATAATCTAGATTATAGAATTTTATTTTTAATACTGCTTTGTTAACTTCTCATATACATTATGTTTATGGACAGTAGTATTTTTAGAATTAATGTGCTCTTGATCCTGGGACTTACTTTAGTAAATAAATAATTAAAATTTAATCATAGAAGGAAATAAATGATTTCTAAATTATATGACAGGGACATTTAAAAACGCTTTAAATGGTTTTAATAAATTTCTTATACATAGCCATAGAATCAGGAAGTACCCCAAGTTTACCTCAAATTACTGGCACTTATTCAATTTTCTCTTTGCCTATAATACCTGTCTCACCTCTTTTATCTCTCTGTGCCTAGCTAATGTTATTTTTACTCCAATTTGTTGTTTTGAAATTTTCAGCCTACAAAAAAGTTGTTATACTTATTGTTATACTTATTCTCTGATTAATATTTTGTCTCCTTTTTTCTTACTATTCCTTTTTAAATAGTTAAAAATATGTGCATGTTTAGTGTCCCTCTATTTCTGTCACCACTGCTTAAATTCAACTTTCTGCACTTCTCATTTCTTGATATATCACTCATCTTTTCGTTTTTCCAGTTTCCCAAACAGGTGTCACAGTGATCTTTGTAGAATGTAGATCTGACTAAGTAACTTGTTTGAGAGTCTTCAGGCTCTGTGTGTGTGTGTGTGTGTGTGTGTGTGTGTGTGTGTGTGTGTGTTTATAATCAGTTATACATGACAGAATGCTCTTTAATTCATTGTAAACAAATGGAGCACAATTTTTTATTTCTCTGGTTGTAAAAGAAGTAGGGTCACACCATTTGTGCAGTCATACATGTACCTATGATAACGATGTCCATCTCATTCCACCATCTATTCTACCCCCCATGTCCCCTTCCCTCCCACCCCTTTGCCCAATTCAAAGTTCCTCCTCTCATCCCATGCCCCTCCCCCAACCCCCAACATTATGGATTAGCATCCACTTATTAGAGAAAACATTTGGCCTTTGGTTTTTGGAAATTGGCTTACTTCACTTAACATGATATTCTCCAGCTTCAGATTATGTTTTGTGCACAGTCAGGAATCATTACACTTTTTGGCATTCACTAGTCTTAATAATATGGTCCAATTTCCTTTTCTAGTTTTATGTTTTTCATTCTTCTTCCTGTACCACTTTCCAGATACATCAAAATGTTTTCTACTCAATGAAGTTCTGTCTTTTGTACTTTTATAACTTTGTTTTTGCTGCATGGAATTTGCTGCTGCCTAGACTTCCCCCTGAAATCTATTAGTCCTGCAGGAGATCCATTTTATCTGTTCTTCTCTCCGTAAAACTTCTGTGGATTTGCTCAGTTGGAATTAACTATTGTACTCTTAGGAAAGGCCGCATTCTATAATTTTCAGTGTATTTTAATGATGACATGTTTGAGAATTTTAAAATTACCTCTTTGTTCATAAAATATGAATATCAGAAAGGACATGAGTTAATTTCTGTTCTTTTATAGCTGAGAAAACTAAGACTGAAAGATTAGCTCTTAAAAGACTTCTCAAGACCAAATAACGAGCCTGTTGACAGTATTAAAACTAGATAGCTCAAATAGTTCTGAGTCTTAGTTCAGTGTTATTCATACTGTACTTTTCTATACAAAGTAAAGAACATGCATATTTTTACAGAAAGTAAATAAATGTTTTTTTCTTCTAGGTTTCAGTCAGAAAGAGAAAGTGGAGATCGAAATTTTGCAATAGGATACTACTTAAAAGAAAAAAAGGTTTTTAAATTTTTGTTTCTACTTTAGATTTGTTCAATAAAATATGACCACACATGCTAAGAACTCTACAATATCCTTTAAATAAATTCTTATTATTTAAAGTACAGAAGTAGCTGGGTTATGGTAGTAGCCCATGCCTGTAATTCCATCTATTTGAGAAGACTGAGACAGGATAATCACAAGTTAGAGGCCAGCCTAAGCAACTTAGTGAGACACTCTCTCAAAATAAAAAATAAAAGAGGCTGGGGATGTAGCTCAGTGGTAGAGAGCCCTTGGGTTCAATACCCAGTGGCTTAAAAAACAAACAGAGCAAAAAACCAATTTTTTGCAATCAAATTAGTGTTACTAAATTGTTAATGTTATTATTAAATTTTATTTATATTTGGCAGTGTTCAAACATTTGACTAATGCAAATTCTGCTTGAGGTTTAGTCCATTGTTTTAAAGTACATTGCCTGATTAGTTGATTATCCTTGATTATTATTATTATTTTTGTGGGGGGGAGGGATTGAACTCAAAGGTGCTTAACCACTGAACCACACCCCAGCCCTTTTTTATATCTTATTTAGAGACAGCGTCTTGCTAATGTGCTGAGACTGGCTTTGAACTCAAGATCCTCCTGTCTCAGCCTCCCAAGCTACTGAGATAACAGGCATGTATAGCCACGCCTGCTACACTTGAGTTTTAAAAGATTTAAAGTCTTAAGTCTAATAACTTGATTTAAGACTCATGGATCAGTTTATCATTATCAGTTAAACTAGTATCTAGAAATTTATATGATGTTATGTAATGCTACATTGTTTATAGGTTACATACTATTTTGTTCTCAGTTAAAATGAAACTTGTACATTTTAAACTCAATCATGACATATTCCTGTTTTTATATGCATGTTTGTTTTTCTGAGTGTTTATGTTTCTAATTGCCTTTCTGTTTTTCAGTGTTTTCCAGAAGGCACAGACATGGTTGGTATACTAGACTTCTATTTCCAGGTAATTTACTGTGATTATATGAACTGTATGTATAAATAGATGTGACAAGTTTTGTAAATATAACATTTTGCAGATATCTTTGAAATCTCAGCCATGGAAAATTTCATTTTCCATTGACTTTCAAAAAAAAAATCCTCACAAAAGATAGTCTCATGTTAATATCTCCTAAAAATACATGCTTCAGAATGGAATAGGGAAACATTCTTTCAAAAACTTATGAAGTGATATGCAATCTTAGAAATTGTATTCCCTTGGTTATAAGAAGCTATTTATCAGAATACTTAAAATGTCTGTTTTAGCTGACTTGCTGTCTTTCGTAATCTTTGTTACTACCTTGTTCTGGTTTAATTGGTGCTCAAAGAATAATTGTTTAACTCACTTCTGCAGTGTCACAATTAGTTTTTTCTAAGTTAGAGTTGCTCTCAGTATTCATAGGGTAGCAGGGAACAGAGACCATGCACATAATCTGATGTGGTATGGTCCTCAATTTAGTATAGCCGTACTATAATATGAAGCTACATAGTAGACTGTTATTTTTGATATTTAGTTTACCATACTTTACTTTTGAAGGTACTTTAATTTTAACCTTTTAGTGGTTTTATAGAATCTATATTAGGGAAGTTGATAATGTATCAGGTTTTTATTTGTTCTTTTTAGATATACAGATCAGTATATTTTGACATATTTATATAAATATGAAGTGCATCTTATTCTAGTCAGGATCCCAGTCTTGTGGTGTTTTGGCGATTCACTGTGGTATATTCATATATATTTCCTTTTCTTAGGAAAATTATATCAGATTCATTCCACTTCTTTCCTATTCCTGTTCCCTCTCCTTTCCCTTCATTCCCCTTTGTCTAATCCACTGAACTTCTATTCTCCTCCGTCTCCCCCTTATAGTGTGTTAGCATCTGCATATCAGAGAGAACATTCAACGTTTGGTTTCTTAAGATTAGCTTATTTTGCTTAGCATAATACTCTACAGATCCATCCATTTACCAGCAAAAGTCATAGTCATTCTTTTTTTTTTTTTTAAATGACTGAGTCATACTCCATTGTGTATATATACCACATTTTTTTTTATACATTCATCTGTTGAAAGGCACCTAGGTTGGTTGCATAGCTTAGCTTTTGTGAATTGAGCTGCTATAAACATTGATGTGGCTGCGTTACTGTAGTATGCTGATCTTAAGTCCTTTGGGTATATACTGAGGAGTAGGATAACTGGGTCAAATGGTGTTTCCACTCCATTTTTTCCTGAGGAATCTCCATACTGCTTTCTGTAGTGATTGTACCAATTTGCAGTCTCACCAACAGTGTTTTTCCCACATTCTCACCAACATTTATTGGTACATGTATTCTTGATTGTTGCTTTTTTGATGGGAGTGAGATGAAATATCGGTGTAATTTTAATTTGCATTTCTCTAATTGCTAGATTTTGATGGAAGTACAGGTCTTCGTTTGTCATCTGCCCAATGTGAAATGCCATGAATTGAGAATCCAGAATCTATATAAAATTCAAGGTCTATCTTGACTTTGTTAGTCATATAATTCAGTTTCAGTTACTGGGTCCTCATTTCATTTTCTAACATATTTCTGACCTAAATATATTGAAGATAACATAGGATGATATGGGTGAAATGCCTTTGAAACTTATAAAGTCTTATGTGAAATATAGTATCACCCTTTTCATTTATTTATTTATTTACATGCAGTGCTGAGAATTGAACCTAGTGCCTTACACATGCTAGGCAAGCACTGTACCACTGAACCACAATCCCAGCCCATTATTTTTATTCTTATCCAATAATCTTTACTTTTTTCCCAGCCCATATAAATTTTTTCCATTAGTTAATGTTTCTTTTCCTTTAGAATATGTATTTGATTTTTGGATATTATAGCTTAGGTGCTACTAATCTACTGTGAAATTTCTATACTTAGGGCAAAAATCCAGAGATAATCATAGAAGACTAACTAACTCTTTTAGAAAAGTGATGCATCTGATTAAGTGAACATCCATCAAGTTATCAGGAGAATATTCTTAAATTGGCATTTGTCAAATTAGGGGAATGTCACTTTACAACAAACAATTCCAATTAATACTAAGTATAAATTAGAAAATGATCATTGGAACTTAAGTCTTATTTCACTTAGAAAGCCTTTTATAATTAATCAACCTGTAGTTTTTTTTCTAGGGCAATGTAGTAAGTAGATTTTGTAGTTTTGGAGAAATAGGGAAATTGTGTTAATATTAAAGGGAGAAAGTAAAAGTTGATCAAAAAGTGATTCTCAATCAGAGCTATACAAACTGTGTTCCAATTCACTGTAATTAATTTTATTTCTTGCTGTTTCCAAGCTCCTTTATACTTCTTGTAGATCTTACAGTATGCCTGAAGAAAGTTTTAGAATTTGAGGATCCAATCTTTTCTTCCTTCTTGTCTTTCCACTTTCTCCCACAATCTTGATTGTTATCATTAAAAAATAAAACATTGAGAAATTTATTATTTTAGTTTTATGGGTAAATTTGGGTTTGATATAATAAACTATTTTTATTAGATTATATTTAAATGCAAAAAAATTGTCCAGGTGTACCTGGCTTTCTCTTTTTTATTCATCACAATATATCTATCTCCCATAGTAAATATCAAATAAATATAAGTGATCTAAAGGTAACATTATAGTTTAGGCTCACAGAGCATTCATGCTAGAGCTCTCACGTATTCTTCCTTTTGGTCCTTTGCATGTTGCTGTATAAATGGGGATGTTGAGCTTTCTTGTGTAGATGAAATGTCAGGCAGTTTTGCATTTCCCCCCCCCCAAAGTAGTAATTTCTCATGTAGAGGTTGTTTGTCATAATATTGTTGTATATTGCTTTTTCTTAAAAATGTTAACTTGGCTTATTTTTTCCTATTGTGTTAAAAATAATTATGCTTACATAATCCATTACATAATTAATAGTGAATAGATTTGAATCTTACATAAGGCAATAATAAATCTTAGTGTTTAGGAACAGACCCCTTCTACCCTTGTTCTGCCATTAAAACTGTGAATAACTTTGGGCAAATCAGGATATATCTTAAAGGGGCTAGAACTTTAGTCAGTTAAAATCTTTGGAATATCAATAGGTTACATTAAAGTTATCCCTTTGAAAGAGATATTTCAGAGATGTATGAAATACCAGATAAAATAGATGATCTTAGAAAATAAAAATAGTAATAGCCTAAATATTCAGAATTCTTTTTTGTTTATTTTAGCTCTGCTCTATAGAAGTGACTTGTGAATCCGCCAGTGTGATGGCTGCAACACTGGCTAACGGTGGTTTCTGCCCAATTACTGGTGAAAGAGTACTGAGTCCTGAAGCAGTTCGAAATACACTGAGTTTGATGCATTCCTGTGGCATGTATGATTTCTCAGGGCAATTTGCTTTCCATGTGAGTAGTTGTTTATTAATTTTCTCCAGCAAGAATCTAGTCTGGAATTTTTTTAAGCAGTTTGAACTTTGCTTCTAAAGCTGTATATTAATTTTTGAAAGAGAGGCTTATTTTCAAGGTTAATTTGTTACAAATTGGTAAGAAATAGAGTTAAAATAGTCTATCAGATGTTCTTAAGAACTTGGAAGTTTAATTTAAAGAACCTCATAGCTTCTGCTTATAAAGCATTTCTACATTTAAGGTTAGTATAGACTTTCTTTACTTTTATTTGTCATTGTTTAGCATTATAGTGACTGCATTCCGAAAGTTCAAAAGGAATACATAGATGGGATGTTTAACCTCTTTTGTTACAGTCGTAGATGTTTTAAAGGGCTTAAAGTATATTAAAATAAAGCTTAAAAATATATTCCTTTAAGTTCTATTGTGCATTTGCCAGTGTGAAACATATGGACCTTTCTTATTTCATCTTGCTTATATTATGTCGTAATGCAGTCCTAAAAATTTTGGGGGGAGGGGGAATTTCAAGTATGCTAGAATAGAGAAATGGATTTAATGTTACCTATCATTCACTTTAAGTAATTATAAATACATGACTAATCTTGTTTCATCTGTGTACATATCTACTTTCCCATCCTTATCATATTCCAGTATATAAATCCAAATAATAAAGACCCTTAATAAAATATATGAGTACCATTAGGGGGCTGGAGTTGTAGCTCAGTGGTAGAGTGCCTGCCTTACATGTGTGAGGCCCTGGGTCAATCCTTAGCACCACATAAAAATAAATAAATAAAGATATTATGTCCCCCAAAAAAGAGTTTTATTTTTTTTAAATACTATTATTACATATTTAAAAACTTAAATATTACATATAAAAACATTATCTTTAATCAGTATTAAATTTAATATCAAGATATTTAGTTTTCAGATTTCCTGGATTATTTTATATTATGATTATATTATTTGACAATTTGTTTGACTTGGGATACAAATAATGACCATATATTGTGATTGATTGTGTGGCCATTTATTTTCTTTTAATCTATAGGTCTCTCCATGATCTTTTTCTCATTATTTTTGGTTGGGTCATTTATCCTGTATAGCCTTTCTTGGTCTAGATTTTATTCATTACATATGTTCCATTGTGCTTTGTAGTTCCTGTGAATTGTTTTATCCAATTCAAATGGTTTCCATTGGCTTGTTTTATTTGGTTTTGTGCAAGATTATCTCATTGGTATAATTTTATCAAGAAGTGCTTAATGTCTGAATGTTAGTAAGCCATTAATAAATGCTGCACTGATGAAACTAATTTTTCTTTTATCATAATTGTTGTCCAGTTTTTGCATAATGTGGACAAACTTTCTGAAGAGGATTGATTTGAATTACTTTTTATTTCTAAGATCTTCCTCTGAAAGTATACCATAGGAAAATCTTTTAAGAAGATAATAATTTCTCATTATTTTCAGGTTAAACAATGTTTTTGGAAATAACTTTTGATATATAAAGCATACATTTTTATTTTAGAACAATTAAAAAAATCGTGAAGAAGAATAAAATTAAAACCTGTGGATCATAGTTTATATGTAACCACTTTAACTCCTTAGACTATGTCTTTCAAAATTTTTTCTATATTTTATTGTATTCCAAACATTTTTATAGTTTGTCATTTATTTGCTGTATTTACAAACATGTTGATCAGTGGTTTTTTTTTTTTTTTTTAAAGATAGAGTGAGAGAGAGGAGAGAGAGAGAGAGAATTTTTAATATTTATTTTTTAGTTCTCGGTGGACACAACATCTTTGTTGGTATGTGGTGCTGAGGATCG